CCCGTCTGTATCATTCAGATGTTTGATATTTCTCTTGTAAACGTCTTGATGAAACAGATAACAATACCATTTTCATGCCGCAAGCGAATAATAAAACTTGTCGTAAGTTTTTATATGTAAGAAAACAGATTGTTTTTAATAAACACTGATTAAGTTATCAATTCTTTTTTAAAACAAATAGTCGTTAATAAGTCGTTTGACTTAATTTTACAGAGTGCCTGAAACTACATAAATAACACAAGCAATTTTCTACTACATGTTTATTCAATTTTGCTTGTTATCAAAAGTACCATAAAACACACATTTTAAACATTTAAAGTAAATGGAGAGTGTCAAGATACTCTAAAATAATTTACAACATGTATTTTCATCTTTCGTTTTCTTTTGACGATTACACTGAAAAGAAAAGAAAGAAAATACACACAGGTAACAAGCCAGATATAAGTACATCATACACTTAAAGTTTTTTTATTAAGCCTGAAAAATATTACCAATAAAATAAACTGATATGAAGGTATTTAAACAAGATCAAGCATTGTTCTGGCAAAACGTTGAAAGAGGATATTTGTTTGTTTTCAGTGACAATTGGTCCTATATGTATATCACTTAAAATATTGAGGATTTAAAATAAATGTCAAGGGTGTGAAGCAAGAATAGTTTTTATTTTTATTTTTCTTTAAATTTCGCTTCGAATATAATTCATATTTAAAAACAAAGCAAGATTTCTAGCCAGGCGTAATAAATATTAGGACTAAATGACGTTATTGTTATTCTTGACATCATGAAAACTGTATATGTAATGCATTCTTTTTTTAATATTTTCAAATTTGTAGAACAGACTAACCAAAGTTCTAAAGGTCACTCATTCTCTAACAGTGTGATACGCCTTATATTTAACATGTTTCTTTTCATTATCTGATCGACATTATAAGATGGACTGTATTTTAACAAATATTGCTTACTCGTGAATTTACTATCTTTAATTGCAGGTTGATTCTTCAAGTGACCTTCTGCCATTGGGTCTCTCCCATACTTTCATGTAGCAGTCGTATTTCTTACCAATCTGAAAACAATTCACGATTTTAGTCAACTGTTAAACATATGCCTAACATGCATTCTATAAAATATTTAGAATTTCATTATTTTCAAAGGTCGATTAACCCTTAAAAATGTTAAATAAAGGAAGTTGTTGAAAACCATGTTAATATTAAAAACTACCTTCTGCAAAAAGCAAGATATGTTATATAGGAAGAAAACTTTGACAGAAAGAAATAAAGAAAGTAAAGAAACCTAATACTGTATGAACTGCATATTGCCTTTTTCGATTACCAGAAAATACTACTTACCCCGCCTGGTATTTGGTATGCGACCTTAGCTTTCACATGATACAAGGTTCCTTCCACCACCTGAAATAAATAAGAAAAGTGTTTCGAACATATTTCTTGGATCATTTTTAATTCGTAAAAGAAATATGCAAATGTATCAGAAAAGATCCCGCCTAACGACGCTTATAAGATGAAGTAACAAAACTCTAGAGAACTGAACTAAAGCACGGGGATGGAACCCGATATATATCTCAAAAATGAGCATCGGTAAAAGTTTATGTCAATTTCCGTGCTCCAGATGAGAAGCATAAAACCAAATGTGACTGTAAAATTTGGTCAATAGCAGGGTAAGTTTTCAACATTTTAAACAGTTACATCAAATTCAATCTTTTTTTTTAGAAGATCGAAATGTGATTCTACCCTCCTAACTCTCCTCTATATTACCCATTTTTGTTTTGGATTTCTATGCAGTCTTCATCGAGATATTCTTTCCTTAATGGGTTCTGGTGTGTCCAAAACATGCAATGCTTATGAAGAAAATGTCACTAAACGGAAAAAAAGAGAAAAAAGTTATGAAGGTAGGTGTGGACTCAGCCGTTACACACACTGCGTTCATTGGTGATAACATAATGACTTACCCATTTTGGTTACCATTTTTTACTTAAGTAATTTTACACAATGGGAAATGAATCGAATTCAGAGACATTTATATATACAGTTTTCTTTCAAAAAGTCTCTTTCCCTTTTCCCCCATAAACCACCACAAAATAATTTCATCAATGTAGCAATATCACATTACTGCAATAATAATAATAATAATAATAATAATAATAATAATAATAATAATAATAATAATAATAATAATAATAAAATAAAAAAAAATATATTAAAAAAATATAAAAATTAAAAAAATTTATAATAATAATAATGATAATAATATATTGTGATATAATAATAATAATAATAATAATAATAATAATAATAATAATAATAATAATAATAATAATGATAATAATAAAAATAATAATAATAAAATAACAATAATGATGATGATATTAATATATATATAATAATAATAATAATAATAATAATAATAATAATAATAATAATAATAATAATAATAATAATAATAATAATACATCGTAGTAATAATAAAAGTAAAAAAAATAATAAAATAATAATAATAATAATAATAATAATAATAATAATAATAAATGATGATGATGATGACAATGATGATAATAATAATAAAAATGAAAAAATTAAATAAGCATATTAAAAAGCGATAGATTAGTTATATGAATTAGTTATATAAAAATTAAAGTATTTTGCTACTTACTTGTGATTCTACGCTCTTCACTTTTATGAGATAGTAACCGTTTCCTAACTCGTCAACTGCAAACTTTGCAATTCTTTTTTCTTTCACGGTCAGCGCTAACGTTGAACTGAGACAGAGCGCGCAAAGAAGAACGCAAAATAAAACCTTCATTTTGTGCAGTGTCGGTAGGAAAATCTACTGTAGCGTTTGTTACTGAGCATGCCATTTATACCAACCTGTCGAAACGTCTGGTGCAATCTGTTTCTTTTGATACATTGTTTTTCCCCTTTTTTGACAAACATATACAATAAATACATCTATTTAGCGAGACAGCTTACAGTATACATGTGGTATGGCCTATATTTTGTTATTTGTATATGGTCAAGGGTGCAGCGTCAGCTGTGATTTTCAACTTTTTGTGACCGATGCACATAAGGCTTTACTTTAGGACATATATGTACTTACATACTGAAAAAATGATGACAACTACAATGTTACTTCGACATTGTAGTGGCATAAATGGTAAACTGTTTATTATTGTGATATGTGATAAACGTTTATATCAAAATATATCATTCATTTTGGCCTGTTATTCAGCCTGGACAGGATATTAATGAATTAAATCTTGATATACATGTTAAAGAAAATTTATAATTAAAAATAACAACAATCTGTATCGTTTCAGCTGCTTTTTCTCAAACAAAACTGCACGTCTTGGTCTGTTATTTTTAGTAACTCCAATGCGGAGCATAAAAATCCGAGATGACTACCGAGATTATCACCAAAGCCTTAAATAATCTAAACTATTTAAGTTGGCAAAGTTTTTTCACCACTGTACATTTGTATTTCAAGTAAAAATTTGTATGCAGGTTGCTTCTTTGTTTCTTAATAACAAAACTGAATTCCATTGGAAAAACTGTATTTTAAGATTATATGGAAATAAGCATATAAAGATACACACACGTTTTTATGATTCTCTGGTTTATGTTTAACCCATTACGTTATATACACGCCTTTTTCACCCCCTTTTTGTTGTCTCAAATGGTGAAAAATGCATTATTTAGGACACCAACACTTGTTTTTGTTTGAGAAATGTTGTTAAAAAAGTGACCTTGATCGCCAAGAAAATTTTGGACTTTTGAATGGCTATAAATGACCCCCAGATTGATCATAAGGTAACGTGTAACCAACGCTAAAAACATTTGCCATTGAGAAGTTGCAGCACTTTGATATCGATTTTGATGGATAAAATCATCAACGTAATTAGTGATTTTTGGCAATTTTGAGATGTCCCCTCGTTGCCATGGTAACAGAAAATTTAAGCCTGATCATGTTGTTGCAAGGACAATGGTCCAGTCAACATTTGTGCCAAGTTTGATTAGTGTTGAAGCAGTTTTTATAGTATTATAGCAATTTGAACTTGTAACGGGAGACTTTTCATTGAAAACAGCCGTTTTTCTGAAGTAATGGGTTAAAACAGAGAAATATTAACCAGTCATTATATTATCCCGTCATTGAAAAGCACCCATGAGAGAAAAATGATATACAATGTAAACTTGACGACAAGTGAAATTAATATAGCGCAAGAGCGTTTGTGAATGAACTATAGTACATAATTATTATTCATTATGCACTCTCATCCAACAATATTCTAAACATGGTTGACATGACCATGTTAGCATGATCAACAGAATTTCTTTAAAATGCATTGATTTTGATTATTTATCGATTTTTTATCGCTATAAATCTCGCACTTTAAATTTGACACCCGCTAATAACTATAACAACGTATCGTCGTATGTCCTGCATCACGTAAGAAAAACGGAATCCTTTAGGTAAAATTGATCTTTCGGAGTGTCTGTTTTTGTAGAGGATAAGGAAATTGGACAAAACAACAGCAACAATCAGACAGACGTTGAAAACCAGCAAAAATCCGACATACAGGTTGACTATCGAGGTTCTTAGACCTCAACCTTGTTCTTATGATACGTGAAAAAGTAACTTCAACCGTCAAACTTTGTTTAACACAATATATGAAGTCAGATTACATGTACCGGATCTTGTATTTCTATTTTCCATGTAAACATGCTTAAGTCGAACGTATAAAAGTCGAACGACTGTTATGATGTAAAGTCAAAGATATAAAACTCGACTCTTCATTAGTCAGTTGCTGAATATTGTTGTTACATTAATTTGATTACGGATTTCATCAATTTACACTTCATACCGAGATAGATATGAACAATGGATACTTAGATGATATCAATAATTACATCTGCTTCAGACTATGACATTTAAAACTTATCAATTAGAAAACAGGATATGGTGTACGCTAGCATTCTTGATACAATCCTTATATAACTGAGATAATCAAAGAGGTTTGTCACAACCGATTTCTATATCAAATTATCTTAATTATCAATCAAACAAGCCGGATCTTTTAAACGTTTAAAATTTGCAAACGTCCGCACATTTTACACCAGTCTCTCTCTCCCATTGGACTGTCATCATGGTAAGTGTTTTACACATACAATGTTCTGTAAATATATGTATTGTTCTATTTGGTGAATGTGAAAAAAATGTTGCCACATTTGCAATTTGTATATTTGTTTATCATAGTCAAATTATCTCAGTTAATATTCTTAACATGAGTTGCAATTTGCGCGCTCAATTGATTTATATGATTTAAAATGGCCACATTGAGGTTTTGGTACATTTGACAAATATATTTTTTTTATTTACATTCTTATATATATATTTTAAAACTCACATATAATATCAATTTCATTTTAAAATGAATTTGAGAGCATATGTTCCTGCTTTACTTTCAACCGAAATGTGTCTTGTTTAATACAGGTGTGTTCAACTTTGATTTCATTGGTTGTCTGTTTCGGAGTAAGCCTCGCTTTGAACTCATGGGAGCTTCCGCAAGCGTTTGTGAATTCCGAGTTAGACCAGAATTGGATGTGGTTCAAGAAAGCTTACAATAAGAGTTTTACTAACGAAAATGAGGAAATTACGAGGTGGGTTTAATACTTTAAGTTGTTATTAACCATAAACGTTTTTTTTTTGTCCAGCGTTTTGTATGGAAGTCAGATGATACTAAAATGTTCAATCTATTAAATGCTCCAATAAATTAGAAAGAGATAAGCTGATATGACTTTTACTTGTACCGTATGATATCTGAGTTCATATTTTGCCCCATATTATATTATATAAACGCTAATATTTTGCTCTTTATCATGGAAATGCTCAGATTTTGCTTCATATCACCTAAACGCTCAAATTTTGCTCCATGTCATATAAATGCTAAACTTTTTCTCCATATCATGAAAACGCTAAATGTTTGCTCCATATCATACAAATGCTCAAAATTTGCTCCATGTCATATGGACGCTAATATTCTGCTCCATACGATATCAATACATGTAATTCTCTTTTTTGTTTGCTTCATTCGATGCCTTCATTTTTCCTATCATATCATATCAACGCTATTTTGTTGCTTCCTCATATCATATCAAATCATATCATATCATATCCACGCTTATTTTTGCTCTATATCACATTAACTGTCATTTTTCCTCCATATTCCTCTCTAACATTGGAAACACCTATTTTACATAATAACGGCAGACTGTACTGTATACTTGGAACGTCTGCAAAAAGATATAAATGCTTAAATAGTTCACTGGTCTGTACCATCTAGAATTGCGCTGTAAAAAAACTTATGCATTTGTGAAAAATCCTTTGAAAATGTGCTCATAATCATGCCAGTAGTGTTTAACATTAAATTAAATAATCCACAAAATATTATTTAAATATCAATATTTCAGGCGTCTTTACTGGGAGGACAACATGAAGTTTATCCGGCAACATAATGAGAAATATTACCGAGGAGAAGTTACATATAGTGTTGGCGAAAACGATTTTGCAGACATGGTTTGTTTACATTATCTATAATAGTGAATATACCGTGCATGGCCGATTATACTGTATATACCGTGCATGGCCGATTATACCGTATATACCGTGCAAAGCCGATAATACCGAATATACGGTGCATTGCCGATAATACCGAATATACGGTGCATTGCCGATAATACCGAATATACGGTGCATTGCCGATAATACCGAATATACGGTGCATTGCTGATAATACCGAATATACGGTGCATTGCCGATAATACCGAATAAACCGTGCATTTTTGCCGAAAATATACCGTGCATTGCCGATGATATCGGAATGCGAAAAGTAACCGTGTTAATTTTTATATATCGGATACATTGTGTATAAACTTAATTAGACAAAAGTAACCAAAATATGAATTATATCTTACTAATGAATACTTAGTTTGACTTTAAAATTATGATAACATTTAGTCTTTTCACTTTTTAAATAATTTTAGATATAATAACCATTTCTATATGTTTTTGATCTGTAATTAACATATGTATATAAGCATTACATATCTTTGGATTGACTTACTATGAAATGCATTTAAAAAGTTTTGTTTTTATTTTACCCATATTAGAAGTTGGACTGTTTGGTTCTTATACTCATCTGGCTAATCACCATGCCGATATTATTCTTCATTTAAATTAAGGCTGACGATGAATTCGAAAAAACTTATCTACGGGGTCTTATCGTACCGGAAGGAGAAGAAAATGATTACCCAGAAGGCCTTACTGAACCGGATGTACAACTTCCTAGAGAACTTGATTGGAGGGTACAAGGACTTGTATCGTCTGTTAAAAATCAAGTATGTTTCCGAATGATTATAATTCTCAATTTAAATATATAATTATCAACAATTTCGCTTTTATTTTAAGATTACGTTGTACCATCCGTTTAAAACGGCGACAGATCAGAAATGACTTTTTTAGCAATTTATAAGCCTTTAGAGTACTTAAATACAATGTATATATATATATATATATATATATATATATATATATTATATATATATATATATATATATATATATATATATATATATATATATATATATATATATATATATATATATATATATATATATATATATATATACATGTATATGTTTGATTTATGATACCAATTTCGATTATATGTCAAATGATAATATGATTTAATCATATGATCGATCGACGACAATAGATTTTTAAAGTATTTTCAGTGTATTCGTACATTGTAGTCGTGGCAATAAAATTTATATATTTGACCCTATAATTTTTATTTTAAACAATCAATATTATACCTAGCATTATCTGTTTTTTCGTTCAAAGTAAAAGTTCATCTCGTTGATAGATATACTACAATTTTATAATGAAACGAAGTCATTTTAGATATAGAGGATCTTTGTTTAGTTCAGTGTAAGATCGGAATATATTTCACCGAGTGAGCACCAAAAGGTATATTTCACGAGTGGCGCAGTCACGAGTGAAATATAAACTTTTGGTGTTCACAAGGTGAAATATATTTCAATCTTACACTAAACTAAACAAATTTTCTTTTTATTACATGCAAAGAAACGTTTTAAAAGACAATAATCTAATAATTAATGAAAAGCGCGCCAAATAATAATGCAACGTGACGTCATTTACGACGTCACGTCATTAAGTTGGTACCCAGTACTGTGCACGCTGCTATTTCACTGAAACAACGTAAGGGGCTTAAATTCAAAACATTGAAATTATCAAAGTGGTAATTTCACTGTTTCAAACAGTGAAATTACCAGTTTTATATCACTGATATATTTCTATAAACCACCGAAAAGCATGTAATAAAAGTATATCTTCACCTTATCATAAAATTCTTACTCATTTTTTTTCAGTGTTCACCATCAAACAAATGGCATGTTTACAGGGCGGGCCGTTAATTTCGGAGGGTTCCTATACTTTTTATGGAATGATTTTACATTTCAGGGAAAGTGTGGCTCGTGTTGGGCATTTTCTGCTCTAGGTGCATTAGAGGGACAAGTCATTAAAAACCATGGCGGTTCCGAAATTCCCGATTTGTCAGAGCAGAATCTTGTTGACTGTGCTAAGGGAGAAAAATACCGTAGGATACATTTGTTTTTTTTTCTGCTCATACTAAAGACTTTGGAATTAAATTATTATAAGTGTCTAGTCTTGTCATGAACATTATGTTCTTATCACCTTTTGACACATTTATAAATTTCCGCATTTCATCTGATTAAATAAAAGTCCCTTTTATCAAGAATTACAAAAAAAAATATTAATTTACCGCCTAATAGTCCGATATGCATAGAAAATCCATGTAGGCTTCTTTACGAACTATTGAAGAACGAAATGATGCAGATCTATCGAGTGATGGCTGAACTTTAATGTTAACGTTATTTAATTATGTAGATTGAGTTATTTAATTGTTTGATTATTTATATCCATGCATAGTACTCATTGAAATTATTGTTGAAAAAATTTGTCTCAGCATTTCCAACTCGAAAACAAACTCTGGACAGCAAAATAGAGCTGTTGTGAATAATATTCATACATTATTAACAAATTCAGTAATCAAAGTAAGAAATCGTGACTACTTTCATAAAACCTCGAAACATGTTCACTATTCCGCTTAGTAAAAATATACCAAATTTTAGGCGAACAGAACACGTCGAGTGATTTTTAGACGGCCTAATTGCCATTTTGCTGCAATTAATGAACAGCTTTTATGGTCAGATTGTAAAGGTTTCTGACAAGTTAACACACCTGATGTAATTAGTGAAATTAATGCGAGGTCTTATATAACTACTACAGTAGCCTATGTTAAATGATATATTCGGTGCGCCAAAGTAAGTACACTGTAAACAGGAAAATATTGTTTTTCGTTGATCACTTAACTAAGCCCAGACTATGACCTTGTGCTGACCTAGACCCACTTATAATCATTATATTATCATCATATGATCATAATAAATAGCTTATTTAATTGCCTTGACAAACTAATCTGTTCATTGCAATACTCAAATTGCATAAAGTGAAGAACAGTACTTAAAACATAAAGAAAAGATAAATAAAACTAAGTTATCTATTCATACCAATTTAAGAATCAAAACGTTACAGAATGTACGGCGACAAGATTTCTTGATTAAAATTTCATTGATATCCATATTACGTTCAACAAACCTTTTAGCTCAATTTAAGGCACTTCTTCCAAAGTCAACCAATAACGTCACTTCCGATTTTTCAGTCAAATTGTTGTCACTTCCGATTTGTATTCATCACTACTTTCGGTACATTTATATAATTTGAAAAGAGGTGAATTAATAAATAATATGTTAATATATTTATTCTGTGTAGCAATATAAGTCTTTTTTGTTTAATATTACAGATAATTTAGGATGCAAAGGCGGATGGATGCACAATGCATATCAGTATATCAAAGACAATGGAGGTATTGACAGCGAATTTTGCTACCCATACCGAGCAATAGTATGTATCAATTATGAATTTAACTCATTTTAGTACACATAGAAGATAAGCTAAATTAAAATTACAACAAATATAAAACTATTGTTTCAAACATCTTCAGAGACATGATGTAAATATTTTACTTTTCGCATCTTTTGTAATATTCATTAATATTTTAACAGCATAAAGTTAAAAAAAATATTTTGTTCTTGTTTCTATTGCCGTTTTTGATTTTTACATGTATATAAGGCACGGAAAGTTTCGAA